AGATCGCAATTCCTCTGCCGCTCGTAAAAATCCGATTAACCTTCCCAAAAGGTGATTCATTGACAAAATTGCTAGTGCTTCTTACATGTGCTTTAAAGTTTACAGCACGTGTCATATCAAGAAAGATTCACAGTGTTTTTGAATAATCGGACTTCGCATCTTTTTGTCTAATTACCTGAAGCTTTTTCAGCAGCCTTTCTAATTATATTTTGGCCACATATTTAATGATGGAATAAGTCTTCTTTTTTGGCCATTTGATAGAGCTTGTCCAGAGGTGCATTAAGTGTCTTATTGGGACTTGGAGACGTTCTTATTCAATAAGAGGATTAATTGACAATTTGGCCATTGGAATTTTTTATGTTACTTGTGATTTTCTGAGCACGCGAGATGAACCAATGACATAAGAAGGTATCATCAACATCTTTAAAATATGTACTCACTGCAATCTTGCAAATGGTTGATACTGCCTTACTAAAAGGAGTTTGATGTAATTTGCTATCAAATGTATTTTCTAAGTGAGTGTAGACCTACGGTAGTGAAGAAGAATGTTGATTCTTACGCATAATTTAGTGATCCTGCAGCAGTTTCCGGAACCTCTGTGCCATCTGGTAATAGGGATCCCTTCATAGAACACCCAAGTCAGCAACTTTTGCGTCAGCGTGGCTTCACCTTCCACCGCTACAACAAATTTCGTGCGGCCTGCCTCCGCGACCGCGAATTATATGGAAAGGGTAAATCTCAGGTCAGCGCGATCGTTTTTGTTTTGTATTTTCTTATTCTCCATTATTTGCATTTCTATTCTATTTTTTATTCGTCATTAGGAATTGTAAAGCTCTCATTAGAATACTTTACTCTGAAAAAATCTTTTAGTGAAGTAAGCCTCGACACTTCGTGTTTTGATGATCTGGCGCTAAAACCTGCACCATTAAAGACCGAACTTCTAGTACCTGCTGTACCTTTCAAAACTTGCTTATCTTTTCGAGTTGCTAACACTGATGCTGTGGGTTTGCAAGCAACGGTGTTCTCCCTTCGCAGGAAATGAATACGCTCTATCGATTTTGGTCGTTCTTCCTACGCGTAAATTTCAATCGTACAATGTACAGAGAATTTCGCCGCTATTCAACAGAGGATGCTTTATACGGCTCCCGTTATGGAATTGAGTGCCTTTTTCGGTTCTACAGCTATGGTCTTGAGCTACGATTTAGGCAAGACCTTTTCAATGACTTTCAGGTACTTTAAGAGATAAGTTTTTTACTATAATTGAAATGATGCATTCACTGATGTTGAGTGGTTCTGCTCCTTTCTCCTTGTAGGAAGAAACATTGAAAGATTATGAATCACGACATCTATATGGTTTGGAGAAATTTTGGGCTTATCTTCACTACAGCAAAAATCGCGTCGATGTTAATCCAAAGTTATCCCAAATACTTGAAAAGTACAAAACTCTGGAGGACTTCAGAGTAAACGTGAGCCATTGCATTAGCGTACTAGGTTTTATCAGTCACAATCCCATCCCTTTACTGCTAGATTCATTAGATCTCTACATTCATCTCCTTAAGGGTTACGTCCTGCAAATGATAATCAGGCTGTTCTATCCTACGATTGCTAATCAGTTACGCAGTTTGGAAGTGACGGAATAGATGCTTATGAACAACCTGTTTTGGCCCCACAACTCCTTTTTTTACATTTTTTTTGTGAAATGTCAAGGTTTTTCTGATTCTTTACCATCCTGATCCGAGATACTTGTCGATTCTCTTTTAGTTTCAACCGCCTGATGGTTTTTTCGTAGCTAGAAGTCGTCGAAGAACACAATCGGAAACGCTAACCACTGGCAATGCCCTCGTCCTTACCCCCGAGTTGCTCACCCATCGCCTATCGGGACTGCCTGCGGGTGGGTCTTCAAAAGAGTCGTCATCGGAATCTGAACCCGAGGAGACAAATAAGACGCGTGAAATAGTAACTGTGCCAACAGCTACAGCCGCAGCAATAGCAAAGCCAAATTCGGAGAAGTTGGAGTCATTGCAGGCAGAGGAGCAAAGCAAGTCCGTAGAAGAGTCGAACTCTGAAGCCCAAACTCATTCGCGTTCTAAAAATGCGCACTTATCCCAAAACGTGAAAAAGAAGCCTCACACGCTAAATAAAAGCATGACTCCAGCAAAGTCACAACTTAAGGAACAGAAATTTTGATCGGAGCGTGACAATCGATCGCATTCCGGAGGTACTCAGCCCGTTCGTACACATATTCAAGGATTATTGAAAAGATGCATTCGACTTTCAGAATGCATATCCATGAGATTCCCCCTTATCCAGCTCAGTTCTCTCTATATCCCAACAGTTTTTTGAGCAAGCATACCCATTACTAGTGTACTGCAAAATGGCATAGGAAACAATTTTTCCTGCGTTTCTTCACACGGTACTCATTTCTGCGTTTAGTGTTGTGACCGCGTTTTCATATCCTTTACTCCTCTCACTAAACAATTCAAGCTCTCGATTTCGCTATTGCCTAACTGCTTAACATTGACTCTGATAGACCTAGACCCGCAGTTTTCTACATCTGTGCTCAACTCCGCTTATACACGGCGGTTGCAGGTCATCACCTCTTGTCTACTAATATAGACTTACACTTTTGTTTTTATACCTGCTTCCAGATTTGCCACCTGCGGTATTATTTTACTAGATCACCATCCATCTTGCACAAGGATGTAAATGCAAACGTTGACGACAGCTTTCATCGCTTGCCGTCTTGGTTTCCTACCCCTTCCACTTTTATTAAGGGTTTGAAGTAACTGTGGACATTATCCGATCTTCAATGCACGTGTCTCTTCTTGTCGGCTTTCAAAGAGTACCCGTTAGTTCTCCCTTGTCGATGACTTGCATTGTTTAGAAGTCTTATTGGATTATAGTGGTGGAGTCCCTAAATGTTGCTTCACTTCTGTCTTCCCTTACTCTGCCCAA